ATGAGCAAAAAGAATTTAGTGAACGTGCAGACTAAAGAACACGATCCAGACTAAAAAAAAAATCAATTTGTGTATTGACCTTGGAGAAAGGCACTAAAATGAGTATTTAAAAGATAACACAGCACCTCTGGGGCCAGCCAGGTTGCATAGTGGTTAAGTTTATGCACTCCGCTTCAGCGGCCCGGGGTTCACGGGTTTTGATCGTGGGTGCTGACCTACACACTACTTGTCAAGCCATGCTGTGGCAGCATCCCACATACAAAATAGAGGTAGATTGGCACGGATGTTAGCTCAGGGCCATTCTTTCTCATCAAAAAAAAAAAAGATATAGCACCTCTATACTAGTGCTTATTCCTATACAGATGGGAAACAGTAAAATCTTTAAGCAGACTGTTGTCTTTAAGCAGACTGTTGTCTAAGAAAAACTATAGGATTATTACATCTTCTGAAACTTCCAATGACTCAAGATTTTATAAATGAATATTACTCATGATCTATGTACCTTATTTTACAATAACATGAATTTAAATCTGGATCCCTAACAAAAATTTCAGAATGAGCCCCTTTACATTTTTGTTGAAGACATAATAGACAGATTTCTTCAACACTCACTCTGAAGAGCAGCCCTGCTCAGACAGAATTTATTCCTGTGCTTTCAGATGCACAGAGGACTTCTCATTTATTGCTGTATTTATTCACTTATTAAATTAAATATTGTAAAATTAAAACCATCATAATACCTACCCAAAGATATTCACTGTCGGCCTTAGTAGTCACAAAAAGTCATCATGTATGGTTTGTGTTATAAATTACTTATGCTTCTCAACTTCTTCCTTGATTTCAGGAAAGTATCTAAACCTTTATGCTACTACACAAAACCGGCCAAAGTAGGTTTCTAAGAAAATGTCTTAAATTTCTGAAAACAATGCTTTATACGTTAAAGAATGTTGGGCAGTTTTCTTCACTAGCCCTTTAGTGTTTCGTTACTTGTCATGTGTAAAGGGATGAGGAAATGTGTTTTTCTGATTTAAATTAAGATTGAGGACTATAAAGATAACTATCAACAAATGGGCTCCATATATTCTTAATTACAAACCTAAACATCCTCTTGGGTAAGTTTTCTATTTTGAAAGCTACCTCGGACTTGATTCAGTAGAGCTGAGGGTCCAAAAGTTTAAAAAGTAATTGTTTAAAAGAAGAACAAGACTGTTTAAGCAATTCTTATTATACCTCAGTAAAACACTGAATTTTCCAGTCCAATAAAAGCAAGAATGAAAAGTGAGTTATTCTATCACAGGTATAGTCTCTAGATTTCTGTTTAGATCCCACCTAGCTGTGTATATGTAGTGATTATATATACATATGATGGTCTATTTCAAGGTGACAATAATAATAAAGTTCAAATTTACTTGTTTTATTCCCTTTTCTTTTCTCCTTATTCCTTGTAAAGGAACCCTATTTTTTTTCAATGAAAGGAAGAAATGTCACTAGAACAAAGAGTGAGTAGAGGAGGAATGGTTGGGATCACCAAAAATCTTTATTAGACTTGACCAAGTATACTACCAGAAAAATTAATTTTAATAGATTGACCTAATTCCCAACTAGAGGAGGAAACAATGATATCTCTTTATGTCATGCTTACTTCTCAGCTTGTTATTTATTTACTCTGCTTATAATTAGTGAAAATGCTTCATTCAAAATGAATTTAACCATGCCTTAGAAGAATTTCGTGAGACTTGAGTTAATTTAGGAAATAGAAATACAGGATGTGTTTTTAGTTTTATGCTTATGATATAAAAGTATAGCAATATGATTTCAGTGATATCCCTCCTCTAAAATAGTCTATATATTTCTAATATCTCAATAGCGTAGAAAAGAAACAAACACCGTTTTAAAACTCCCTGTTCTTATGAATTTCATTCATTCATTCAACAGATTTTTAATAAGCATCTTCCATGTACTATACACTCTTCTAGGTCCTGGGAGATACAAGAGAAGAGAGAGAAATGTTTCTCTTCATGGAGTTTATATTCCAGAAAAGAGAAAGTTGCTACGTATGCATTCCATTCAATTTAATAAACATTTATTGAAAGCCTATGTAGTATTTTCCTAGCTCCTATGAATATGAGTAGTTGAAGGAGATAAAATACTTTGGTGGCTTAAATGTCATCTTTCTGTAACATCCTTCAATCCTAAATGAATTACTCCCTCGTCTGTATCCACGTGTTACTTCATGTGCACCTGTCTCATAACCAAGATCACGTGCATTATACTTTTGTGTTTGCACATCTGTCTTCCCCACAGTGTGTCCATGAGGATCAGGACCCTCATTTGTTCTTATCCCCATGAAGAGCACGGTACTTGCCGGAGTAAATGACTGAACTTGAAGAGGATTGAATATGTACCTTTTGCCCTCATAAAGTTTTCATTTCAGTGGCAAAGGGAAAAGGGAGATAGGATAACCCATTCCTTAAGAGAAGGGAAGTCCTATAAGTGATGGGCTATGTTTTATGTAAATTTTCATGTCCTAGAGGATTTATTTAACATGCTAAGTGAGAAATATTATTTGTCAACTTTATAAAAGAAAAAAGAGATTATTTTCCTAGGTACTTAAAAATTTAAGGGAATCATAATGTTTATATATGACATTAAGACAGCCACACAGTCTAATATAAGCTATAGTAGAGATGCCCAAGTATGAATAATTACATCCACAGATAGATAAGCATGTACTAAATCTTAGGGAAAAAACAATTTAGAATTCCCTCTATAATCTGAGTTTTCACGTGTTGGAATGTTTGGTGAAGAACAGCCCAAGCATCTCATTGAAGGATCAGCAGGGAAACAAGAATTAGATACCCTACGCTGAAGAACTGCACTTCAAAATTGGATCCCTCTTTCTCATATCCTCATTCCTTTTCCCAGTGCATATGAATCAACGCCCCCGTGCTTTGCCTCAGACAGGCAACATCTGGTTGTTGTTTAACCGATGTCACGTACCTTCTTCATCTAAATGGTGTCTTCTCTTTAGATTCGTCTGCTCAGGCATAAACCATCTTGTTGAATAGCACAAGAACCACGTGCCTGCATATTTTGCATCACATATAACATGTATCTTTTTGACTCACTCTACTTCTGGGTCTCTTTTCTTGAATGAGTCAGAAAGAGAGTGAACAAGTGAGTAACGAAGAGAAATTGGAAGAATTTCAGCTGCCTGTAAAATTTGAACAGTATCTGTTTACTGAATGCTACTTAGTAAATGATCCCGGCCTGTGACTCAGAAGAGCTTCATGGCTGTGGAAAAACAGCTCTTCTACTGATAAAAAAAAAATGCCACCATCGTTTCACAAACAAAATAAGAATTTTATATGAGGAAGAAATGGAGCAGAGTTGGGTTATTCAAAACAACAATAAGAAGGTGAAGATCATGCCCTCACTTTCCTTGGCATGACCATTTAACTTCACCTTCACCCACCCTGCCCTTACTCTCAGAAAGACTCCCTTGGGGTACACATGGAAAGTATTTGTTCATGTTTTCTGAGTGAAACTATGGAATGCCTTAAAGATTCACATAAATTGACCAGTTCTAGATTTAAATAAGAGGTTGAATAGATTTACAAGAGTTTTCCCTTAAGTTGTCACATTAGTTGCAAAACACAGTCCTTTCAACATAGAATGGGACTTTTATTGGAAAGAGGAGCTAAAGGAGTCACTATATATTTTTAATATGGTTTTGAGTCAGTGTAGAAACAGCCTGAGGTCAGGCCCCAAATTATTATCACTGTTCATCTTGCCGTAGGGGCATAACAAGATAACGTATCTCAAGAAAACTGGGTCTACAGGGCCTAATTATTTGCTTCTCCCAGAAAGCTATATCATTTACCTCTTGTGGTGGTTTTGACCTATAATTATCACCTTCTTTGTTATGGTACTTAAGGAGTCCAACTGCCCTGGCCATCCTAATGGTGCTGATTTGACTGGTGATGAAGTGTTTGTTTACATTCCTTAACTGAAAAGAGCCTTCTCACACACTGTGGCACAGGTAACAGTGACAGATAGAAGCATACCACTACACATTTTTTCCCAAAGATTAGGTAATGAGCAGTTGTGACCATGATTCCAGCCTGACCCAACTCAAAAGACAGCCTCTTATTTCAAAAACAGTAAGAACCATAAAAATCTTCTGGAGGGCTCTCAGTCCCTCTGTAAATGATGGCAATTGTAGAGCAAGGAAAACAGTCTGACTTTTTACTTGGCAGATAAGATGTTTCTGTTTGCTACTATTAGCATTCTTTTTCTTTAGAGCAGGACAAAATCAAATTATAATATATATATAAATCTGTATATACACATATATATGTATGTATATAAAATCTCTCTATATATGGATCATTCTTTGCATCAAGAGTTTAAACTTTGAGTCAATAGTATACACACATAGATATTATGATGTCCTTTCAAGAAAATCAATCTGAAAAAAGTATCTCAAGAGAAATGTAAAATTAAACCAAAATTGATTCCCAAGCTTTTTAGGCTCCAAGTGTTCATTTTGATGAATGCCTTCAGCCCTGTAATGACGCCAAATATGCCAATAACAAGTGAAATCTATCTCAGATACTATTCCTAAAAGCTTTTGTGGGTCTGGATAAAAGGTTTTAAAATAGCTATACATCTTTGTTTTTAAACTTGTAATTACTAGAAATTCTTAGCCACCAAAATAGCAATATAATATAATTACATTTTTAATCAATGAGTTCTGATCATGATAAAGTTTCTTACAATGTTAATATGTTCCTTTTGGTTCAAAACTGGTTAGTTTGTTTTCTCATGAGTGTGTTTTCTATTCTTAGAAGGCTGTCGACCTTTCTGACTGAGTCACTTAAAAGAAAGGTCTCTTTAGAAAGCAAGAGATATGCTTTGTAATCTACAAAATCACTAGATTTCATTCCAATATTGATTTTCAACCAAAATACACTTTCAACTGTTGTCTTTTGATGCAGACCTCTAATGCCCGAGGAATGCAGAGCCACGGTACAACCTGCCCAGACCCTGACTTCGGAGTGCTCCCGGCTCTGTCGGAATGGCTACTGTACCCCCACGGGAAGGTGCTGCTGCAGCCCAGGATGGGAAGGGGACTTCTGCAGAATCGGTGAGTATTTCTGTTCTCCCCGGAAAGACGAGGCATGAGGCAGCCCTTAGGAACTTGAGAACTTAACATCAGTTATTTCTTCTAGAATTATCTAGTGTTCAAAATGGTTTAGACATTTACAATAATCTTACTGCTCAGTCTGTTTCTGAACTTGTAAATGAAATCCTTCCCATTTTCGTAAACAAACTCATTTGTATAAGTTAATCATAAACATAATTGAGTCCTTTCACAGAGTAAAAAATGGAAACAGCACAACCAGATCATCTCTACCGGCTCTCAGTCCTGGGTTTGAGATTTCACACCAGCCAATGACTTAGTGTTAGCAAACCCTCTTTCCAAGTGCCAGCATTTTCCAGACACCCCATAAATGCCCTCCCTAACTTTACTGCTTGCTTTCTTGCCACAGTGCACTAAAAACAGGGTTTTTCAGAGGGTCTTACTAAATAAAAGGGGAAAACGCAATTATCTGGAGGCGTATTATGAGATTTTTTAATTCTTTTCGCCACTCCCTTATGAACCATCAACTGGGTGTGCAGCTGCTCGGAGAGAGCAAAGGAGATTTATTCCAGGGTTATTCTAGCCTTCAACTTGAGATTTCCTCAGTTACACGCAATGATGTTTAAATTCTACTTCGTGTGAAGAAAATTAAATTTAAATACGTAGAGTTTAAGATGTATATGTTGAAAGTACATTTTCAACAACCACCCTATACATATCTCTTACAAAATATTTTGACCTCTGCTATTTCAGATATTAAAATATGTCTTGCCAATGAAAATTAAAGTCCCAAATTAATATTTAATATTATTCTTAATTCATCAATGCCATCTTTCTTTATTCTAAACATGATTTGTTTCAAAAAATTATAACTCTGATTTATTTACTTTATATATTGTCTAACAAAAAGTAGCCAACATTTAAAGTCACATGTACAGTATATCTTTTAAGCTTAAATTGCTTCAGCACTAATAACATTATGACGTTGATTAATATTATGGTTACAGATCTAGGAAAAAGCTATCATAATTAAAACTCAACAGAAATTAAGTAATTGCATTATTTAAAACAAATGCTTACATTTTAATTGACCTAGTCTGTCTCCCTTTTTGTTAGTTGACAAAAAAATGAGAATCAGTGTTCAAATGCAGTAATGTTCTAATTCCTGATAATATATCTTCCTTCTGCTTCCTTTGATGCCTGACAATATCTATTTTCTCTGCTTCCTTTATGTAGTGTCCATTCTGTTTTATTCCTTACTTTGCATTTTGCCTAACCTCTTAAGTCACCTCAAATCATCAGATAACAATTATTTATTGAGTGCCTTTTAGTAACAGTATATTTAAACTGAGGGTAAACAAATTATTTTGAATATAGGTGGCATTATACATACTATAATAGACAATAATAATAATAATATGTGATATAAATGAAAATAGACACTCTTTGAGTTAACAAGAAGTTTTATTTCAATAAAGTATTTTAATCTATCTACTAAATCAGTTTAAATAGTTTAAATATATAAGCTAAAACAGAACCATTTTATAAATGTAATATATTCATGATATTTTTGACCCAAGCAAGAATTTTATTCATATAGTCACGTAATTGACTCATCTCCCTCAAATTTAAAGGAGAAAATAGTCTATTTTCTTCTTGTTCTTTCCTTTCCTTGTGTCAGCCACAGACCCCTGGATTTTGGTTAATGCGTATGAAAAGGTTAAAATAACCCTGTTCCCTGAAAGTATGAGGACATGTATTCAAGGAATTTGATTCTGTCTACAGTGGCTGCACACCCCAGATTTATTCTATCAAAGACAATGAACTTATATAACCAATTATATCTCTCCATCTCATTTTAGCAGTAAATCTTGACATTCCCTACCTATATTGTAGTGGTAAAAATTCTTTCATGAAGAGATTGTGTGCTGCAGAGTAACCCTGAAAAGGATTGCTGAGAACATCTTTCACTGGCCAACTGCGCTGACCCCAGGAAGGGGCTTCAGAGAGTAATCAGAGATGAGGCACACGCTTGTGCACCCACTGGGGGCAAGGAATAGGAGGAATGCAAGGGAGTCCACGTGGTGGATACTCCATCCAACCAAAATTGAAAACCAACCACTCCTTATGTTGCATTGGAGAAGCTGGAGCCACTGGGCCTCCCTCTCTGGCCACGCCCTTCCCACAGAGAGGTCCTACCCTGGAGGAATGGGAACAGAGTTTTGGAAGGCCCTCTGTTGGAAATATCCTAGTGGAGCAGAGGTTTGAAAGAACTGAAATCCTCGTTTTAAATAGAGTCAGTTCCGCAAGGGATTGAAATTGTTTCCCATGATCTCTGCTTCTCTGGAAATGTCTCCCATTGTCTGCCGAGTTCTGGCCCCCAAATAATTGCAGGTCTGAAAGCCTTCTTTCCTTCTTGTATTTATTATTTTTTGGATCATTCTGTGATTAGATTCCTCCTTCTTTCCCTCCCTTCCCTTACTCATCAAATATTTGTTGGCCTCATACTCGGTGCTGTTTCTGACCTACAGAATGAGAGTGTGATTTCATTGCCCTTTTTTCTCCCAGCAAAATGTGAGCCAGCGTGTCGTCACGGAGGTGTCTGTGTTAGACCGAACAAGTGCCTCTGTAAAAAAGGATATCTTGGTCCTCAATGTGAACAAGTGGACAGAAACATCCGCAGAGTGACCAGGGCAGGTATTCTTGATCAGATCATTGACATGACATCTTATTTGCTGGATCTAACAAGTTACATTGTATAGTTTCTGGGACTGTTTGAATATTCCTTCCAATGGGCATTTATTTTTTATCCTGTCATTAAAAAGAAAGACTGTTATCCTGCTACACACTCCTGTGATTTCATTTTCTTTTATTAATTTAAAAATAATTTTCAGAAATGTGCAGATCCTGTGTGTGTATGTTGGCACAGTGTTCGCATATGCACGTACACACACACACTCACAACCCCTATACGCATGGTTGCATAACAGATGGGTTTTAAAAATATATATTTCCTTGTGTGGAGTAATTTACACAAAAATTCCTTTGTAAATTGATAACGGAATTTTTATGTCACCAGAAGATATTATTTGACTTCCCAGGAATTTTCTGTCTGTAATAATGAAAGTCAACTTTAATGGAGTTTTGAAACATTGCTGTGCAATCTGATGGATCTAATAAAAAAAGGCAATATTTTTATATTAAAGGACTATAATATGAGAGAATGTTTCAGAACTCCCTGATGATTTTCTAAATGGGCAACTTGATATAAAATTGTAATCTTCATTTTTATCAATGTATCCAATTACAGAATGTTACACACTTACCTTTTTATTGGCAGAGAAGTCTGGTTACTCTAGCTTAATCACAAGATTGTTTTCAAGTGTTTTATAATTAAATCCTAACAGCACATGTATTCTAAAACCAATCTTCCTAAAAGGTCTGCTTTTATTGTATATTTTATTTAACAATAGGCACTGGGTTTGTGTTACATATTTATATTTTTTATTTTATTTTTATAATATAGACATCACCTAGATGAAACACCTTTACCCTGTCCTGTAAAATACTAAAGTTACATTTTTCACCAACTTAATTGGAAAGAATGGGAGTGAGAAACAGTCTTTAATGTGCTGTGGATCTAATCTAGCAATGTATCCTTGTGCCAACATGTAATCATTAACGACGGATGAAAAAGCAAGAAAACAGCCAATCCTTATAAAATTCCAGCATTAAACATTTGTAAAGTGCTTTTCACCATAGCAAGATGGTCAGAGTATATGTAATTAGAATGTTGCAGATTTCACATTGAATCGAACCTCACTGGAGAAGAGCTCACTGGTTTTAACAAATCTTGGTTATGTAAGCTGTCACTTGTACAAATTTTTAATATAATAATTCTTGCCAAATATGACTTTTAATGTATATGTTCTTTCAGAACTCAATGAAAATCCTCTTTGGTTAATGTATGAATAAATTTTCTGTAAATGTTCTGTTCAAGTTTTTAAAGAAATGCCATGTTCTAACTTAAAACTGCAAAAAGTCTGGTAGACATTTGTCTTAATGGTTTTCGAGGCCAGCTCTCCATGTTTGGGTTATAACAAAATTATAAGGGCTCTTTGCACTACTGAAAAAACATCTACTCATGACATGCACACACCCACTATAGGTTGCCCTTCTGTAAACATCTGTTCCTCCAGAATCTAAATTGGAGAGTAGTATAGATTGTACAGCACAGGCTGACTTTCTAAACCTGCTCCTTACCTTTAGGAGTATGAGCCCCAATTAAAAAAAAAATAAAATCTTGTAACTGGCATTTCTCTATTGTTTTAAAGTGAGAGATTTGCAATTAAAGCACAGTGAGCATTTATATAGAAACCACAATGTAGAAAGGTTGGTTAAGTACACTGCTCTTGTCTTCCATATATGATTACTTAAGTTTCAAGTGACCTCATGCCAAATGGAAATGGGTTGAGAAATCTTGGTTCAGTGCTTAGTGAACAATAGCCTGCATTAAAAAGTGCATGCATAATTTTGCACAATTTAGATTCAATTGACAGTCTATTCAAAGAAGTCTCAGGATTAAATGAGCATGGAGACCAAATTGCCCTCTTACCCCAGAAAAGGGGTGGTCCCTTCTAGTCACACTAGCACTTCATTGGCCCAACAGTGTGACAAATCTTGCAGTGAACCCTGCAGTAGCCTGCATCTGTAGGTTAATAGCAGTCTTTTGTCTCCATTGCTTTCTCTTCATAGCCCTTTTACAGAATTCCATCACAGAAAGTTTTACAATTAAAAAAAAAATGTCCTGACAACCATTTTTGTAAATGGACCTTACCATCTAATCGTCCCTTATTCAACGTGGGTGACATTAACAAAATGTGAACTTCTTGTGAGGGAGCCAGCTGTCTAAATCTGTCAAATTGTGCAGTTTTATTACACATTCTCCCGTTCATAGTTTCACTGAAAACAATAAGGATACTGCTATATATTCAGCAAAATCTGAAAAATCCAGTGTTTCTCTTACATCCTTAATCTTTCCATTTCTTCCAAAAGAAAAGGTGTTATATTGCCATGAGTTCTCCTATTTAAAAATATCTATATTAAATTGACCAAACCCAGATTGTTTTATACAGTCCTTTCCCAAGTGAAAGAGTTTCAAATGACTTAGAAAAACATATGTACCCCAGGTGTCATTGCTTGTTCTATTGTGAGTCATTAGAATAAAAGACTAACATCTTCTAAAAAGAAGATAGCAAGATCCATGGATATTAAACCCAAGCAAAAAAAGTAAAGTCACTGGAGTCATTTCTTTATGTTCTTAGGAAAGCGGAAAATAGCAATGGCTAATTGATGGCTACATATTTTAAACGCAGTGTCATTTCAAAAAATCATTTGATCTTTTCTTTCAAGTAGATTTTTTAAATATGTGACTGGAGAATTATCTTAAATAATTCATGATGAGAGGCAGGTAGTTAAAAAGTTTGAGCTAGGGAAAAGTTATTGATTCATCACAGGAATGGCATCATCTACTTGGTTCATAAAGCACACAATCAAAATAGACGAAAAATGTCCTTGGTATGAATGCAGATGTGTGAGATAAAGATAAAATAAAGAAATAGAAAGATGTATATTATTCCTTTGTCCATTCTATAGGTTAAGCTTTGGGTGTCAATTTAATGTGAAATGCTGTTATGGTAGTTATAAAGAGTTGGAAAAAAACTTTCTACCACTGCTTCTGCTAAACCCTTGTCCTGGTTAACAGAACTTTGTTTTCTTGCCGGTTACTTAAGGTAATGCGAAGAAAACTGAATTGGCACATCATTAAAGTGAAAAGAAGGGAAGATATAAGAAACTTGAGTGATGATAAAAAGTGCTTCCATCCATACCTTTTCTTCTTAGAATTTTGTTTCAGTGTGGCTATTGTGAAATATATCTTTTATTTTATCACAAAGAATACTCAGAAGTTTTCTCAGATTAATGGACCATCTCACAAAGAGCAAAGAAACTTACACATACAACATATTCATACAACCTAAATAGAAAACCATTCTCCTTTTTATTTACATACTTCAGAGCAGGGACTTCTCTATTTCTTTCTTTGAAAATAATTACATAATAATATACTAACAATTTTTAATGTATTTCTATTAGATATTGTTTTTATCTCTGAATCATAAACTATACAATAAGGTTAGTGGGTATAAGACATGAAGTTGGATGCTACATTGGGATCTTTCAAAGTACACATTAATTTAAACTTTTATTAGTCTAAATTTCTTAGCTTGGAAATATGAAAGAGAAACCAAGCGCAAATTTTTAAGAGGAAAACTAAGATTTACCATAGGCTGTTGCATTGACTGACCAATAAATTAAAGTTTCTGAGCATCTCTATAGAAGTTACCTACAATATCTCTCTCTCACTTTCTCTATCTCTATCTGTATCTTTCTTCTCCTCCTGCCTATATCCTTCTTCCTTTTAACCTCTGCCTTCTCCTCTATTTCTATTGTTTTTGCCTAAACAGACATATCCTCAGTACACCCATAATGAAGATGTTCTGGGATAGTTTGCTATTGATTTTGATCGTTATGATCTTTTCTTTATTTTCCTGAAAAATGGCGTCTCCTGGTGTCACATTTGCTCAGACTCTATATCATGAATAACAGTAGACAAATATGAACATACTAGACTGACTTATTACAATCGTTGAAAGAAATAACCAAAAGCATAAATGACTGCCAACCTGGATACTCCAGTTCAGCTGGTGTTCCATCATAAATACAGGAAAAACACAAGGAATATCCCCAGTCGAGAGCAGGGCTAACAATAGTGAAAGTTAGTAGCTATTTCCTATTCAATTAACAACCATTTCTATGGAGTCTCTTTTGAAGATTATTCCAAATCTCTGAGGAAAAAATAAGAAATAATTCCTCAATGGAGACTTCAGAATCTTCTTTCCCCATCCCTGGGATGAAACTTGAACTTGCAGAGAGCTCAGACCAAAATTCCATGCCCAGAAAATGTACATATTTCTATATTACCCCCAGGAAGTTAGTGGGCCTATTATTGTGAATGTTGGCAATACCTTCAGAAAGTTCCTCTTTAGAATATCCTAAAGAAATAGATATTTGCTATCTTACCTTCTTTCTCTTTGCTACACAAACACATTTAATCATATCTCCAATAATTAAGATGGTGTCAAAGAAGTTGGAAAACCTAAGAGTAGAAGCATTTCAATATTAAAAATATTAAAAACATCACCGTAGAACCTGCCAAACACTAATCCTAGCCAACTTCAACACTTGTTTCTCTTAAATATCTCCTCGTAAGTTTTGGAAATTGCGTTAAAGTGACTGTTTAGGACAGTGAGTTGATGTATTCATGAGTGCATGAGGAAGTGTTGTAGCACCATTTTCTTCTCAATCACAGTGGTAGGTTCTCTAGCTGCTGTGGAGAGGTTTATTCATTTATCAAATTAGCACTTTTCTTAAATTCGTCGTTAAATATGAACTCAAGCCACACCCATCATTTACCCTGCTTTCCCATAACCATTTGTATAGGTCATATATAAGTTGGTTGAAAAAATAAAAAATAAATAATAAATAATGGATCCCTTGTATCAACATAAGGCCTTAGCCTAAAACCTGTTATTGCTTTTTTTAGCCAGTAACATACAAAAAAAAAAAGGTATCAACTCAACATGAATTCTAGGGTTATATCTCATGTATATCACAAAGTCAGACATCACATTTCATTCAGGATGTTTTTTGCATATATACATTATGTATGACTTAAAATACATGTATATATATACAAGCAAATTAACATAAATGTGTGGTGAGTTATCACAATTGACTATAATATTTTCAGTTAAAAAAAAACATTTTAGCACATAGCATAGTAAGAACAACATTAACAGTGATGGGAAATTCATAATGGCTAAGTATAAAATCAGTTTTGTCTTCACAGCTGGAAACTAATTCTTGTACATTTCCTTTTGCACTAAAAAATAACTAGCCAATAGTTTCCATTCACACGAACAACGTGTAATCAGGTTTGTTATAGTCTATGCCCAAAATGTATGTTGGATGTTTATTTACCTCATATTCTTAAAATCTGAGACATGATTTTCCTAGAATAAATTAAGATTTCATGTATAGTAGAAGCCCTTTCATAACACTATTTTGAGAAATTGAATTGACAACCTTATGAGATATCAGATATTTCCCTTATGGCATTATATTTATAGGACATTTTTGGATATGCATTTCACCAAGAACCATGTAGTAACAAGATAAATGATACTGAGGGACTATGGAATTTTTGGACCCTGATTCCCTAGGACATGCTAAAGAAGACTATTTATTTAAAAGAAACCCATCTGATTCAAATGAAAAAATTACCGAATCATTATAATTAATAAGCATAAGAGAAATCTGAAAAGAGACCCCCGTGTATTTCTGGGCTTTGTCTGTGATTAATTTTGTCCAGTTGTAAAGAATGGTTAACTTTATCAGTCTTCTAACATGTTTTGGTTTTCCTAGTTGTTCATTTTCATTTAGGTTGTTGACAATTAGGGCAATCTGTCCATAACCTTATACTCATGGAGGATACCAGAACCAATCCTTGCTTGAATTTCTGTTAATAAGAGGCAGAAGCCTGAAGGAACAAGTAGTAAAAGCTGGTATACTTTTGAGGGAGCAGAGTTAATATATGAACTAGTTGGGATTTCTATAAATGCTCTTCTAAAAAGTAACACACAGTCATTGGCTCAGATATTCCCTCCAAATTTGAATTAATCTGTTTAACCAAGTTATTATAATATGCCGTTCTCTTTGATCGATCTATTATTCAACCATTCATTAACTCAACAAATATTTATTGAAGTGCCTAGTATGTGCTATAGAAAAGACAAGGACGTTTACAGTGGGGAAGTGTGAGCCCAATGGGTATGATGAACATGTTGGAAGCAAAAGACAGTAATCGCACTCAATCAGCTCCAATTCAGCTCATTAGAATCCAGCAATAATAGTACAGATGGCCTAACGTACATCTGTGTGTATCTGTATGTGTGCACACACCCATGTATATATATTTATCTATCTGTACAAACACTACATATGTATACACACTATCTATGTAATATATAATATATGTATAATGCATATAAATTCTAACAAGTGTATTTGTGTTCTCTTTAAAATAGAACAATTGTATCTTGAAGTGGTAAATGCAGAGAATTGGTTTTTATTGTTGATCTGTGGATTTAATGATTTTTAGGTAAAAAGGATGTTTAAGTGTATAATTTCTTTTCTTAATTTAATATATTTATGTAAATGCATGCCTGAAATTTGGTTAGATTGGCTGTGTTTTGTGTCCTTTAACATGATCAAATGTATTAAACTTTATCTTATGACCTGACGTACATGTGCTATTTTAAAATTCTTTTTTGTTTTAGAATTTTAAAACATTTTTCCTAAATATTCATGCTAATTACATAAACACTAATTTTTAGCTATTCTGTACCCACACTACTTCTTCAAAATATCCTTGCCTTTTTTCGTTTTTCATGTTCTAATTTTTAGGTTTTACTCCCCAAACTATACGCCAATGTTAAGAGTCAGTTTCATTGTATAAATGTATTAGGCAGCCGTAAGATGTTATATTGCTTTAAATTTACCCTAAGTTGTAGATGATTTAAATCTGATCCTTTCAAGTAAGTAAGAATTAATAAGTGAAGACTATCAAAGGCCATTGAGAGTACCAAGTGCCCAAACTGAAGGGAAGAAGCATGTAGAGGGAGGGACATGAAGAAAGGTAATTGCCGATACCCCCAAACCTTGCTGACCATCCCATTTTGCTTCCAGTTAACCCTGTCAAGGGTTTTTGTATAAGATCAGATCTGCTATTTTGAACATGAATTTTAAGTCTGCCAATATTCTTTAGAAGAGCAAAATGCTTTCATCTAGATCTCCTTTCTTCCTGGATAGATACATCTCTTTGACTCATTGAAAGGAAAAGCTATTTCTCTGTGAGATGATTATTTCTAGGAGAATAAAATGTGTTACAAGGTGCTTATTCACAGACGCAGTCCCTGAGCTCAAGGTACGGTCTAGAAGTTTTAAGTTAGGCAAAGTGACACACTGAGAAGTGTCCTTTAGCCATTCCACAGTGGCCCAGGAAGCCCCAGAGTTCTCCTTCAGGCACTGCCTTTCCAGTCCTTAGACTCTGTTCCCGTGGCTTAGCCCTTAATTACCCTCTTTGTTTCCTGGGCATGTCTGGTCTCTCCAAACAGATTATAAGTCTCCCGAGGGCATATCTTATACTTTTTGAAGGCCTGACGGACTTAGAATTCCCGCATACTTGATATAAGAAAAATAATAATAATACGTGTATACAGCCTAGAGATGGAAGTGGTTTCGTGCTATTGCTAATCTCTCTGGGTTCCTTCACTGCCCCTTGATTGGCTTCTCAACCAAGAACTGTCCCAATGGAAAAGGCCATTATTCCCACAGTTCTCACTAAAAATTTTCATACCTCACATTTGTACTTCTAAAACTATCGGCTTCCAGTTTGTCCAGAAGTCTGACAGCTAACGTGAGAGAAAGTTCTATGAACTTGCTTCTTTACACTCCCTTTTTTTTTTTTTTGTAGAATTCTTTAGACTAATGTACTATTTCCAAAGGAGGTACAACTTAAAATAGCAGCCACACTTAGTAGCTTATCAAAAAAAAAAAAATACAGTTTTTTCTCTTCGGAGTTCCAAAGAGGTTTCTCTGGAGATTAAATCCTACTGTCATTCAAAGAAATGAAAGGATAAAAGGAAGAAAAACAACTTGGATGAAATATTTCTTCTGCCTTTTCATAATTTGATTAATGTTTGATTTCTATACAATATTTTCTATGATTAAAACAAAGAGAATTTAAAAGGGGAAAGGAAGGGGCAGGGAGAGAGAGGGAAAAGGCTGGGTAGCTCCTGAGTATAAAATTCATTCTTCTTGGGACTATGCCCACATCAGAAACTACTTGAGCTCACTCTTGTAATTTAATAAGATGTCATCAGATCACTTATAGCCTTCTAATTAAAACTACTTGATGCAAAATCCATGTGCTTCATGTAAAGCAATTTAGATTATCATAGACACTATTCTATGATGTATAGCTACCAAAAGCCATGCTTGCCAGGTGTACTGGCAGGAACCCTGGGCTAGGGCTGTGCAACATGGATCCTAGGCCT